ACTTCTCAGTCATGTGTCGTCGTCCCCAGAACTAAAAACACTTCTCAGTCATGTGTTCCCCCCCGGAACTAAAAACACATCTCAGTCATGTGTTCCCCCCCGGAACTAAAAACACATCTCAGTCATGTGTCCCCCCCAGAACTAAAAACACTTCTCAGTCATGTGTTCCCCCCCCCCCCCACCGGAACTAAAAACACATCTCAGTCATGTGTCCCCCCCCCAGAAATAAAAAACACTTCTCAGTCATGTGTCGTCGTCCCCCCAGAACTAAAAAACACTTCTCAGTCATGTGTCCCCCCCCCCGAACTAAAAATACATCTCAGTCATGTGTCCCCCCCCCCGAAACTAAAAACACTTCTCAGTCATGTGACCCCCCCCCTGTTGCTAAAAACACTTCTCAGTCATGTATCCCCCCCCCCGGTGCTAAAAACACATCTCAGTCATGTGTCCCCACCAGTGCTAAAAACACATCTCAGTCATGTGTCCCCCCCAGTGCTAAAAACACATCTCAGTCATGTGCCCCCCCCCCCCCTGAGCTACAAAACACATCTCAGTCATGTGTCCCTCCCAGTGCTAAAAACACTTCTCAGTCATGTGTCGTCCCCCCCGAAACTAAAAAACACTTCTCAGTCATGTGACCCCCCCCCCCCCCCCCATTGCTAAAAACACTTCTCAGTCATGTATCCCCCCCCCCCCCCCGGTGCTAAAAACACATCTCAGTCATGTGTCCCCACCAGTGCTAAAAAGACATCTCAGTCATGTGTGTCCCCCCCCCCGAAACTAAAAACACTTCTCAGTCATGTGACCCCCCCCCCGTTGCTAAAAACACTTCTCAGTCATGTATCCCCCCCCCCCCGGTGCTAAAAACACATCTCAGTCATGTGTCCCCACCAGTGCTAAAAAACACTTCTCAGTCATGTATCCCCCCCCCCCCCCCCCCCCCCCCCCCCCCCCCCCCCCCCCCCCCCGGTGCTAAAAACACATCTCAGTCATGTGTCCCCCCCAGTGCTAAAAACACATCTCAGTCATGTATCCCCCCCCCCGAGCTACAAAACACATCTCAGTCATGTGTCCCTCCCAGTGCTAAATACACATCTCAGTCATGTGTCCCCCCCCCAGTGCTAAAAACACATCTCAGTCATGTGCCCCCCCCCTGCAAAAATCACTTCTCAGTCATAAGATGTGACTTTGGACACATTTCCATTCTTACTGCGTTTCCTGTTGCATTTTTGAAACGTTTTGCGCTTTTTTTGCCAAAAGAAAAGTATTGAGAGCAACTTTGATGCGACTTTACACTTTCGGGCTATTTATTTATTTATTGAAATATATTGAATGCGGCCAAAATTGTAGCATTTCAAATACATGTCAATATATTTGGGAAGAATATTTTTAAAATATATTTCAAATATATTTTCTTCCATGTTGGGCCGGAACGGATTCATTGGTTTTCAAAGCGTTTACACATTTTTTTTGCAATACGAAGCAAGTTTCCCCCGGATGCAGTGCGCCTGGGAGGTTTAGAGCGCCGGCCCCCTTGATGCTGGAGTCTGTGGGCAGCACGTGGCGTCGAGTGTGGAGGTGTTGGAGCCATTTTTGCATCACGTTTTGGAGCCATTCCGGAAATTTTTTAATCATGTCCCTGTACAGTATTTATGCTTTTAAAGTGCACTTTATAAAGAGTTTTGAACAGATAAAAGACTTTTTTTAAACTTTTTTCTGACCTCCGGAACGGATTAATTGGTTTTCAATGCATTTACGATTTTTTTCTGCAATACGAACAGATTAATTGGTTTTCAGTGCATTTATAATTTTTTTTAATCACGTCCCTGTACAGTATTTATGCCTTTAAAGTGCACTTTATAAAGAGGTTTGAACCGATAAAAAGACTTTTATTTTACTTTTTTTCTGACCTCCGGAACGGATTAATTGGTTTTCAATGCATTTATGATTTTTTTCTGCAATACGAACAGATTAATTGGTTTTCAGTGCATTTATAATATTTTTTAATCATGTCCCTGTACAGTATTTATGCTTTTAAAGTGCACTTTATAAAGAGTTTTGAACAGATAAAAGACTTTTTTTAAACTTTTTTCTGACCTCCGGAACGGATTAATTGGTTTTCAATGCATTTACGATTTTTTTCTGCAATACGAACAGATTAATTGGTTTTCAGTGCATTTATAATTTTTTTTAATCACGTCCCTGTACAGTATTTATGCCTTTAAAGTGCACTTTATAAAGAGGTTTGAACCGATAAAAGACTTTTATTTTACTTTTTTTCTGACCTCCGGAACGGATTAATTGGTTTTCAATGCATTTATAATTTTTTTAATCATGTCCCTGTACAGTATTGATGCTTTCAAAGTGCACTTCATAAAGAGGTTTGAACCGATAAAACTTTTTTTTTTTACTTTTTTCTGACCTCCGCAACTTATTAATTGGTTTTCAATGCATTCCTATGGGAAACCGCGTTTCGGTTTCCAAATTTTTCGCAATACGAAACATCCCGGAGAACGCATTAAATTCGGAAACCGAGGTACGCCTGTCCTAACGATCCGGTTATCGGACGATCGGTCCTCAAACGAACATTTCCGTACGATTTTCTTATCATGTGTACGGGACATAAAGGTTTGTATGTATTAAATGAATAAAAATCTGTCCAAAAACAGAACCAAAAAAAAAAAAAAAAAAGAAAAAAAAGAAAAAATACCTGAAAATAATTTAGGAAGAAGCAGAAAGTGGAAGTGGCGGGGTGCGAGGAGGGGTCCCCAGCTGGAACTGTCGTGTCCGGAACAGAGGCGGACTGGCAACTCATGGGGCCCCCGGGCAATAGGGGATCATGGGGCCCTGTGTCCTTGCCCAAACTCAAAAAAGCCTATGAGAAAGGTACCAGGGGCATCTCATGGGGGCCCCTACTGACCCCGGGCCCTCGGGCAGTGCCCGAGTTTCCAAATGGTCAGTCCGCCCCTGGTCCGGAACATCTTGTGTATAAGAATGAACCCCTCATATGTGTTTGTTTAACTTTTTAAATTTTGTTTAACTCTTTTTTTTTTTTTTTTTTTAATGTAATGCTGTTTTATCTGATGCGGGGCTCGGCCAGGGAAGTGCGTGTCCCATATCATGCATCGGCTCGCTCAGCAGCAAAAACAAAAGTTTTTCCCGTAAAGCTCTCAGCTGTGTGATCCAGCCAGGCTGGGAAGAACCAGAGCCCCTGGGGGGGGGGGGGCCCAGGAAAGGGGGGGGGATTAGTTTGAATAAACTGTGCCATTGTTAGACAGATGACAGAAAATAAGTAACAGTTAATTGTTTTTTTTTTTCTTTTTTGTTTTTTTTTCCTGGGGATAAAACATTCCTCTGTGTTTGGATTTGCAGGAACGCGGTGGGCGAATGCGGCTGCCAGGTGCCTCTGATGCTGCGGGAGAGCTCAGCGAGGTCGCCGTTTAGAGAGTAAGTTGCTGCGGGGGCTTCCCATGCCGATCGGATGCTTTTTTTTTGTTTACTCTTGCTTTTTTTTTTTTTTTTTTTTTTTTTTTTTTTTTTTTTTTTTTTTTTTTTTTTTTTTTTTTTTTTTTTAATCTTGGTTTTTTTTACTTTTTTTTTAATCTTGCTTTTTTTAACTTTTTTTTTTTTACTCTTGCTTTTTTTTATTTTTTTGTTTTACTCTTGCTTTTTTTTATTTTTTTGTTTTACTCTTGCTTTTTTTTTATTTTTTTTTAATCTTGCTTTTTTTTTTTTTATTTTTTTTTTTACTCTTGCTTTTTTTATTTTTTTTTTTTAATCTTGCTTTTTTTTTTTTTTTTTAATCTTGCTTTTTTTTTATTTTATTTTTTTTACTCTTGCTTTTTTTATTTTTTACTCTCTTTTTTTTTTTTTTTTTTAATTTATTTATTTTTTTACTCTCGCTAATTCTCTTCCCTCCCAGACCTGCGAGCCGCCCTAATCCCCCAAATGTGACCCATCCGCAGACAGACAGGGACGGACGGACATACAGGCAGGGGTAGCTGCTTTCTTTTTTTTTTTTTTTTGGCTCTTTCCCTTATAAGGCAACTGAAGTCATCACTGATGCAATAAAGAATTGGATTGTGTTCTTCTGATCTGACTTCCCTCCCCTAGGACTTCTCTTCCTCACACAAATTGTTTGATTTGAAAGCCAAACCTCCCTAAGTGCCTCTTTCTCTTTTTTTTTTTTTTTTTCTCTCTTCTCGTTGACACTCAGGCGCAGGGAGCAGCTGGGCTTTGCGGAGAGGGATGGAGGTGTAGATGTGCTTAGACTTGAAGGGGTCTCCCGAAGAGAAGACCAAGGGACCATCCGCGGCGTGCTGAAGAGAAGAGTCGAGGTGAAGGAGCACACCGAGGAGAGACTCCGGGGGCAAGAGGCAGAGCAAGTGGACTTCCGACAGGTTTTGGGAGGGAGGGTCAGCACCAAAAGCATTTCGGAAGAGAACCTAAAGGAGGTATCGGCTGAACAGATGGACTTCAGAGCTAACCTTAAAGGGCAGGTCAAGCCCAAGGCCTCGGAGGATGAGAAAAAGGGCAACGCCACCCAACAGGTGGATTTTCGCTCCGTCTTGGGGAAAAAGGGCTCTGCACCAAAGACCCCTGTGGTGGAAAAGACACCAACCAAAGTAGCCACCCCCGACTTCAGATCTGTTTTGGGAGGCAAGAAGAAGGGGCCCACTGAAAATGGTAACGCCAACAACACGGAGCCTCATGAGAATGCAAAACCGTTTGGAGATAAGCTAAAGTCAGTCGCCAAGGATGAGAAGGCAAAGCCAGCGGCCATTCAAGACAAACTAAAGCCAATGGGCAAGGAGGAAAATGCCAAGCCAGCGTTCCTCCAAGAAAAACTAAAACCAGCGTCCAAGGAGGAAAACGCGAAGCCAGCGTTCCTCCAAGAAAAACTAAAACCAGCGTCCAAGGAAGAAAACGCGAAGCCAGCGTTCCTCCAAGAAAAACTAAAACCAGCGTCCAAGGAGGAAAACGCAAAGCCAGCGTTCGTCCAAGAAAAACTAAAACCAGCGTCCAAGGAGGAAAACGCCAAGCCCGCCCCGCAAGACAAATTAAAGCCGCTGGTCAAGAGGAAAACTAAAACCAGCGTCAATAAGAAAATTAAAGCCAGCGTTCCTCCAAGAGAAAAAACTTCGAAAACCAAAAAACTGCAGTCAAGGAGGAAAACGCCAAACCAGCAGCAATACGCAAACCAAAGCCGTAGTCAACCAGACAAAACCCTTACGAAAGCAAAAAACTGCAGTCAAAGAGGAAAATGCCAAACCAGCAGCAATACAAGACAAATTAAAGCCAGTAGTCAACCAAGAGAAGGCAAAACCCTTCGACGAAAGGCAAAAAACTGCAGTCAAGGAGGAAAATGCCAAACCAGCGGTCAACCAGGAAAAAGCCAAAACTTTGGAGAAGGACGGAAAGGCAAAACCAGCTGAAAAGGAAGAAATTTCTAAGCCCCCGGTGACAAAAGAGAGTACAAAGCCACCCGTCGTAGAGGGGAACGCCAAACCTGTTGAGGAAAATGCAGCGCCGGCGGTCAAAGAGGAGAAAGTGGAGCAGAACTGTGTGTCGGTGGTGGATGGAGAAGTGGAGAACAAGGCTGAAGAAAGCTCAGGGACTCCACCAGTCTTCTCTGAAGTTTTGCAGGACTTAAAGTTGGCGGATGGAGAGAAGCTGCTTCTACAGTGCCAGGTCACCTCAGAGCCACCGCCGACCGTAACATGGACTCTCGATGGGAAAGTCATGAAGTCCTCCAAGTTCATTGTTCTCGCTCAAGAAGGTAATTCTATAAATATACTTTTTGATGTTCTATTCCTGCACTTTGCTTTGATGATTCTGTTCTTCCCGACTTAACAATGAATTGTATAGAGAGAGCCTGTTCTACCTGTCTTCAGGGTCTTGCCTGTATACCCGCCATTGTATCTCCGCACCTGTCTGTCCCAATTAGGGACAACTTATTCCTTGCTGCAGGGGAACTTTTACTGCTGATATTTCCTGGTACTGATGTTAGCTCATCGTTACATTGAGTTGTATTGAGGAAAAGAGCACAAGATTAGGAGCATCATCTTCATTGATTGAAATCTGGGTTTTTATGGGTTACTGCAGTTATTATTCACCATTTTGTCCTGATTGAATAATCTAGAACAGCCATTCCCAAGGAGGGTTCCTCCAGAGAATGCTAGGGGTTACTGACCTCCCATCTCATGGTGCCTACATAGTTCCAGGGCCAATGCCACATCACAGAGCCAGTTGCCCAGACACTAATAATCTTTTTTAGTTGTCTGTAATTGTGGCATTCTGACCCTGGCCACCAATATAAAGACATTCTTCCCACTGATCACCAATGTAAGGGACATTCTTCCCACTGACCCCAATGTAAGGGACATTCTTCCCACTGACCCCCAATTTAAGGGACATTCTTCCCACTGACCACCAATGTAAAGGACATTCTTCCCACTGACCACCAATGTAAGGGACATTCTTCCCACTGACCCCCAATGTAAGGGACATTCTTCCCACTGACCCCCAATGTAAAGGACATTCTTCCCACTGACCACCAATGTAAAGGACATTCTTTCCCACTGATCACCAATGTAAGGGACATTCTTCCCACTGATCACCAATGTAAGGGACATTCTTCCCACTGACCCCCAATGTAAGGGACATTCTTCCCACTGACCACCAATGTAAGGGACATTCTTCCCACTGACCCCTAATGTAAGGACATTCTTCCCACTGACCACCAATGTAAGGGACATTCTTTCCACTGACCACCAATGTAAAGGACATTCTTCCCACTGATCACCAATGTAAGGGACATTCTTCCCACTGACCCCCAATGTAAAGGACATTCTTCCCACTGACCCCCAATGTAAGGGACATTCTTCCCACCGACCACCAATGTAAGGGACATTCTTCCCACTGACACCAATGTAAGGGACATTCTTCCCACTGACCCCCCCCCCAATGTAAGGGACATTCTTCCCACTGATCCCCAATGTAAGGGGCAATTTTCCCCGCTGACCCCCAATGTAAGGGACATTCTTCCCACTGACCCCCCAATGTAAGGAACATTCTTCCCACTGACCCCCAATGTAAGGGACATTCTCCCCACTGACCCCCAATGTAAGGGACATTCTTCCCACTGACCCCCAATGTAAGGGACATTCTCCCCACTGACCCCCCAATGTAAGGGACATTCTTCCCACTGATCACCAATGTAAGGGACATTCTTCCCACTGACCCCCAATGTAAGGGACATTCTTCCCACTGACCACCAATGTAAGGGACATTCTTCCCACTGACCCCCAATGTAAGGGACGTTCTTCCCCTGACCCCCAATGTAAGGACCCCCAATTGTACATTCTTCCCACTGACCCCCAATGTAAGGGACATTCTTCCCACTGACCCCCAATGTAAGGGACATTTTCCCACTGACCCCCAATGTAAGGGACATTCTTCCCACTGACCCCCAATGTAAGAGACATTCTTCCCACTGACCCCCAATGTAAGGGACATTCTTCCCACTGACCCCCCAATGTAAGGGACATTCTTCCACTGATCACCAATGTAAGGGACATTCTTCCCACTGACCCCCAATGTAAGGGACATTCTTCCCACTGACCACCAATGTAAGGGACATTCTTCCCACTGACCCCCAATGTAAGGGACATTCTTCCCACTGACCACCAATGTAAGGACATTCTTCCCCACTGACCCCCAATGTAAGGGACATTCTTCCCACTGACCCCCAATGTAAGGGACATTCTTCCCACTGACCCCCAATGTAAGGGACATTCTTCCCACTGACCCCCAATGTAAAGGACATTCTTCCCACTGATCACCAATGTAAGGGACATTCTTCCCACTGAGGCCCCCAATGTAAGGGACATTCTTCCCACTGATCCCCAATGTAAGGGGCAATTTCCCCGCTGACCCCCAATGTAAGGGACATTCTTCCCACTGACCCCAATGTAAGGGACATTCTTCCCACTGACCCCCAATGTAAGGAACATTCTTCCCACTGACCCCCAATGTAAGGGACATTCTTCCCCACTGACCCCAATGTAAGGGACATTCTTCCCACTGACCCCCAATGTAAGGGACATTCTTCCCACTGACCCCCAATGTAAGGGACATTCTTCCTTCCCACTGACCACCAATGTAAGGGACATTCTTCCCACTGACCCCCAATGTAAGGGACATTCTTCCCACTGACCCCCAATGTAAGGGACATTCTTCCCCCTGACCCCAATGTAAGGGACATTCTTCCCACTGACCCCCAATGTAAGGGACATTCTTCCCACTGACCACCAATGTAAGGGGGACATTCTTCCCACTGACCCCCAATGTAAGGGACATTCTTCCCACTGACCCCCAATGTAAGGGACATTCTTCCCACTGACCCCCAATGTAAGGGACATTCTTCCCACTGACCACCAATGTAAGGGACATTCTTCCCACTGACCCCAATGTAAGGGACATTCTTGACCCCCACTAAGACTTCCCACTGACCACCAACAATGTAAGGGATCAATTCTTCCCTGACCCCCAATGTAAGGGACATTCTTCCCAACTGACCACCAATGTAAGGGACATTCTTTCCACTGACCCCCAATGTAAGTAACCCCCAATGGGACATTCTTCCCACTGACCCCCCAATGTAAGGGGACATTCTACCCACTGACCCCCAATGTAAGGGTCATTTCCCACTGACCCCCTTCCCACGGATGTAAGGACGTAAGGGACATTCTTCCCACACCCCCAATGGTGACCCCACCAAACCAATGTAAGGGACATTCTTCCCACTGACCCCAATGTAAGGGACATTCTGGGACCGACCACCAATGTAAGGGACATTCTTCCAACACTGACCACCAATGTAAAGGACATTCATCCTCAGGACCCCCAATGTAAGGGACATTTTTCCCACTGACCCCAATGTAAGGGACATTCTTCCCAAGCTGACCGTCAATGTAAGGGACATTCTTCCGAATGACCCCCAATGTAAGCATTCTTCCCACTGAACCCCCAATGACACGAGCAATGTAAGGGACGTTCTTCCCACTGACCACCAATGTAAAGGGACAACTAAGTACCCAAATGTAAGGGATACTATTCCACCACCAATGCATTGACAAATGTAAGGGAAATTCTTCCCACTGATACACCAATGTAAGTCACCCACTGCCCCTGTAAGGGACATTCTTACCACCTGAATGGAAAATGTAAGAGAACATTCTTCCCACTGACCACCATGTAAGTAGGACATTCTTCCAAATCTATACAAAGGACATAGATGAACCCCAATGTAAGGGACATCTCTCCAGATGTGATATTAGGGACCTTCTCCACTGACCCCCAATGATGCCGGTTCTACTGACCCCCAATTAAGGCATTGATATAGTCGGTATAATTGGAAGCTGTTGGGTTCTCCCAAGCTGAACCCCCCCCCACCCCAATACCAGTGGGAGTGTCATTCAGATCCGGTTTGTGGAGACAATCCTCTCGTTCCCCTATTAAAGCGATGTCATAAATCTCAGGAATCTGCATGTTTGTTTTATAACCCCGGATAGATTCTGCTGCCAGCTCCGTCTGTAGATTCGTCACCGAATACCGAAACCAAGGGAAGCATCGGGGGGACGAACGCGCAATGCTGCGCAAGAACGACGGACAACGAAGCTACAAATGACTATTCACAGCAACAATGTATCATCTGACTGCACTGGGACCGGCTATAGAATGGATAGAATGTAGAGAACACACACAAATCCTCCAGGAAAAGGGTTTTGTTTCTCCATGACTTACAAATATTAGGACCTATTTATCATCATTGAAGAGTTTCAGGTAATCTTTAGGGTTGTGGGTGGAGTCATTCAAATCATTTCTCCTGCCCCTATGGTCAACTGTCCAATCAGAGCCTCTGGTTTATAGACCGGATACGTCCTAAATATAGAGCCATTTATCCAACGTCCAATCAGAGCCTCTGGTATATAGACCGGGGATACATCCTAAATATAGAACCATTTATCCAACCGTCCAATCAGAGCCTCTGGTTTATAGACCGGATACGTCCTAAATATAGAGCCATTTATCCAACTGTCCAATCAGAGCCTCTGGTTTATAGACCGGCATACATCCGAAATATAGAACCATTTGTCCAACTGGCTCTTTTCTCTTCTCTTGACGAAGAATAGGGTGATATATTAAGTTGGAACAGAACTCAATACTTCCTGACATATAACAGTACACTTCTGGTGCCTAGGCACTCCTGATATTGGTGCACTTCCTGTGCCTAGGCACTCCTGATATCGGTGCACTTGCTGTGATTAGGCACTCCTGATATCGGTGCACTTGCTGTGATTAGGGCACTCCTGATATCGGTGCACTTGCTGTGATTAGGCACTCCTCATCAGTACACTTCCTGTGCCTAGGCACTCCTGATAGCGGTGCACTTCTTGTGCCTAGGCACTCTGGGTTTCAGCGCACTTTTTTGCTCTGGACACTCCTGCCCTGTAGCTGTATATCTGAAGTGTGAGATCATCTATGGCGCTGCTGACTGCTGGTCTCACCAGATATAGAGTGAGATTTGGTGATGTCATTGCTGTGCTGCTCACTGTTCTCTTTGCTGGAGGGGAAGCTGCACCTGAGGACCTGCAGTGCCAGGATCTCCCTGCTTCATCCTGTAGACCTGTCCTTTCTCTGTCATTACCTCACCAGCCATCAGATCATCAGTCGGCAGAGGGGCAGCTTTGACATGAGAAAGCAAAGCTTGCTCCTCTACCAAGATGGTTGCCTTTATAGAGAGACGCAGGGCAGAAGAAGGCTTCGCATGCCAGTAATGGGGAAGGATCAGCTGCGGGGAGACAACAGCGGCGACTAGTCCTTTGCCCTCTGCCAGCCACTGCCTGGGAACAGCTTCCAGGCTTCAGCTCTTCCTAATGGCAAAAAAGGAGCCGTGTGTTCTGAGGTTCCGGGCTGTGCAGAGTTAATTGAGGCTTGGTCCCATTTGGATATCTCCCCTGGGATCTGTATGAGGGTCTCCTGGTTCCCAGGGCAGCCCAGAGCCCAAGACATGCTTTGTATTCCCCCTCCGGGAGGGCGGCTGACAATTCCCTTCCCTGGTAACAATTTCCTCCATATGTATGAACACCGAGATAATCGAAAGCAAAAATGTCCTTTTTAAGTTTGATGCTGAAACCAGATTCCGCCAAACTGGAGATAAAGGTCCCTAAGGCCCCCTCCACACCGGTGTTCCGTATGTCCGCCATTCATCTGTCCATTTACGGATGAAGAACAGACCCCCATGTATTGCTAAGGACCAGCGGATGTACATTCCATTTTCAAACGGAAGAAAAAACCCTATTTTTATTCCGTTAAAAAATGTGGAATGGATGAGAAATGGATATAAATGGACGAAAATGGATGTAAATAGATGAAAAATGGATGTAATTGGACAAAAATGGATGTAAATAGACGAAAAACGTATTCAAACAGACGAAAACAGATGTAAATGGATGTAAACGGATGAATATGGATGAAAACGAATGTAAATTGATGAAAAATGGATGTAAATGGATGAAAAAACGTATTTAAACAGACGAATACAGATGTAAATGGATGAAAATGGATGTAAACAGATGAATATGGATGAAAACGAATGTAAATGGATGAATATGGATGAAAATGGATGTAAATGGATGAAAAAACGTATTCAAACAGACGAAAACAGATGTAAATGGATGAAAATGGATGTAAATAGACAAAAATGGATGTAAATAGATGGAAAACCTATTTAAACAGAAGAAAACAGATGTAAATGGATGAAAAACGGATGTAAATAGATGAAAAACGTATTTAAATAGACGAAAACAGATGTAAACGGATGAATATGGATGAAAATGGATGTAAACGGATTAATATGGATGAAAACAGATGTAAATGGATGAAAACGGATGTAAATGGGTGAAAAACGGATGTAAATGAATGAAAACGGATGTAGAGGGACAAAAAGAAGGATGAAAAACGGATGTGAACTGATCTTTTTTCTTTTTTTCTGTAAAAAACATGACTGGACTGATGAAAAAAAACGGAACACCTGTGTGAAAGGGGCCTTTCACATGGGTGTTCCGTATCTCTGTTTTTCATCTGTCCGTTTACGGATGAAGAACGGAACCCCCATGTATTTCTAAGGACCAGTGGATTTACATTCTGTTTTCGAACGGAAGAAAATCCTATTTTTATTCCATTAAAAAAAGCGGAACGGATGAAAAATGGATGTAAATGGCTGAAATGGATGTAAATAGAGGAAAATGTATATAAACAGATGAAAACAGATGTAAATGGATGAGAAATGGATGTAAACAGATGAATATAGATGAAAACGGATGTAAACGGATGAATATGGATGAAAAATGGATGTAACAACGGATGAATATGGATGAAAACGGATGTAAATGGATTAAAAAAACGGATGTAAATGGATAAAAACGGATGCAGACGGACAAAAGAAGGATGAAAAATGGATGTAAACTGATGAATATGGATGAAAAATGGATGTAAACTGATGAATATGGATGAAAATGGATGTAAACGGATGAATATGGATAAAAAATGGATGTAAACGGATGTAAATGGATGAAAAACGGATGTAAATGGATGAAAAAATGATGTAGACGGACAAAGGGATAAAAAATGGATGTAAACTGATGTGCACTGATCCGTTTTTTCTTGGAAAAAATGTGACTGAACTGACAAAAAAAACGGAACACCTGTGTGGGGCCTTTCACAGGGGTGTTCTGTATGTCCGTTTTTCATCTGTCCGTTTACGGATTAAAAACGGACACCCATGTATTTTCTAGGGAATAGCGGAAGGAAACAGATAAAAAATGGATTTAAACAGACAAAAAACGGATGTAAATGGATGAAAAACAGAAGTAAACGGATGAATGATGATGGATGAAAAACGGATGTAAACGGATGAAAACGGATGTAAATGGATGAAAATGGATGAAAATGGATGTAGACGGACAAAAGAAGGATGAAAAACGGATGTAAACTGATGTGAACTGATCTTTTTTCTTTTTTTTTTTTTTTTTGTAAAAAACATGACTGAACTGATGAAAAAAAAACGGAACACCTGTGTGAAAGGGGCCTTTCACATGGGTGTTCCGTATCTCCGTTCTTCATCTGTCCATTTACGGATGAAGAACGGAACCCCATGTATTTCTAAGGACCAGTGGATGTACATTCTGTTTTCGAACGGAAGAAAATCCTATTTTTATTCCGTTAAAAAAAAAAGCGGAACGGATGAAAAATGGATGTAAATAGATGAAAAACGTATTTAAACAGATGAAAACGGATGTAAATGGATAAAAAGTGGATGTAAACGGATGAATATGGATGAAAATGGATGTAAACGGATGAATATGGATGAAAACGGATGAAATTGGATGAAAAAAGGATGTAAATGGATGAAAAGTGGATGTAAACGGATGAATATGGATGAAAATGGATGTAAACGGATGAATATGGATGGAAACGGATGAAATTGGATGAAAAACGGATGTAAATGGATGAAAAGTGGATGTAAACGGATGAATATGGATGAAAATGGATGTAAACGGATGAATATGGATGAAAACGGATGAAATTGGATGAAAAACTGATGTAAATGGATGAAAAAACGGATGTAGACGGACAAAAGAAGGATGAAAAATGGATGTAAACTGATGTCACTGATCCGTTTTTTCTTGGAAAAAAACGTGACTGAACTGATGAAAAAAAACGGAACGCCTGTGTGAAAGGGGCCTTTCACTTGGGCGTTCCGTATGGCCGTTTTTCATCTGTCCGTTTATGGAATAAAAATGGACACCCATGTATTTCTATGGACTAGCGGATGTAAACAGATAAAAATGGATTTAAATGGATGTAAATGGATGAAAATGGATCAAAACGGATGAAAAGTGGATGGAAACGGACAAAAAAACAGATGTAAATGGATGAAAAATGAAGGATTTTTGGGGCGTTTAGGTGTTTTTTGTTGTGTTTTTTGATGCGTTTTGCTGCTCTCCAGTATTAAAGTCGATGTATATGAGCGATTAACCTGGTCTGGAGCGAATTCTGCCAACCATGAGAGTGGGAGGCAAATAAAGAGTGCAAACCTGAAGGAGGAGCACGGCACAATTTGGACCTTTATTTATTTACAGTCACGTGGTGATTTATTTTGAAAAAGTCAACCCACACGGTGATTTTAAGGAGGACTTTTATTGGACTTTTTGTT